CCCGGATGGGCGACCGCTTTTCTTTTTCAGTTGCCCGAGACCAAATGTTAGTCACCTGAGGTGACTGGGTGCCGCTAGAGCACAGCCTTGCAACAGTATAAATTCCCACCTCCCAATGCACAGTGGATGAAGTGTTTGGCAGTCATTTCAATCTTTTTGTAATTTGGTTCATAAATTAAAAAGCAGGAAAACTCAGTCTATAGCTAATGCAGTACAAGATAATTTGGTTATAACCAATTGACATTTTAATGTAAATTAGCCACTGTAAACAGTTTACCAACTGACCTTTTGAGCATAAGCCCTTCATCAGAGCAAAGGATCACAGGCTAATGCTCAAAATGTCAGCTTTTAAACTCTTTACCATGGCTAATTAACTTTATCAACTCAGTTTGTAAAACCAAATTATCTTGTTATACTCCCCCACCAAAATAGCATCAGTTTTTCCATAAACTTAACCCCCTTTTCACATAAAACAGACTTAGCTGTCTTGATAAATGCATTCACTGATACCATTACAAGAAAAAGAGATTGACTCACTTGAGTAGTAACCTATGTCATTATATCTGTCCAGTTGACAAATTTCATAACACTCTAGCATATTATCATCCCAAATTCTCCTGTAGTCTGCATCATGAAGAACATCATACATTAATGAGAGTGACACATCTTGGAAGCTGGTGACCACCTAAGACAAAGCCAAATAACATCAAGCATTTACTTTAGCCATGAAGTATAACCAAAAATCATTCCATGAGCACATGTTGGATATGAGTTGGCTATAACCAGTCTTGTATCCAACAAGCGCAAATGGACACATTTGGATTTCAGCTCTACAAATATTGTAACATTGCAATTCCACATTAGATGACTCAGAATATGAGCTGATAACCAGAGTTGAGTGGACCAATCAGAACAGTACAAATGCAATATTTGGAGTTGAGAGTTTTTATTATAACAATTATTCACCAAAGTGAAAAATTGTTTTAGTATAAACCACACAGAAACAGAAAAAAATGGTTTATTTCTGTCAAAGTACCAAAGATGGTTGTTATAAATTGAACTCTTGACACAGAGTTTCGATTGCAAACTAGCCAATCAGGGTGCACAAGACCTGTGTGGTACATATTAACAAGGAATATTGGTAGCTGGAGGTTTCACTGATTTACCAGCGTCGCTGTGTTTAGAAAAATATTAACAAAACATTTCACCCATCACAGAAATATCAGATCTATTAGAGGAGCACTTTATCTTAAAATACTAGACAATTGAAAAGGTCTCAAGAAGATTGGAATTTAAAAAAAAAATACTGAGGCTTTTTGCCTATTGGAAGAGAAAGTCAAATTGCTTTCAGGTGCATTAAAAATTAGGGTGATCATCTTCTGACAATCTAAGAATTGGACTTTCATATTTAGTGACTGCAATGATGCACTTAAGCTTCCTCTGTTGTGGATTCTTTTAGACCTCCAAAACCCACACATAATTATACATACTAAGACATACTGTACATTTAGTTGTACTTTAACATAGCTATAACATAATTGACTTCTGTAAAGCAGGTCTATTCTCAATTAAAGCTTAGTAACTAATTTGTCTCTGGAAAATCAAGAATAGTGTGACTCCATCCACAAAGAGGTTGTTCCTTTGGACAATTTTAAGTGCAAAGTTAATTTTTTTTAGATTTTTCGATGAAACTCAAATAGATTACCTAAATTGTTTGTAATAATGCAATTTTAACACAACCTAATGCTTGTTGCATTCTCATCGGTTTTTTTCTTTTTTTCAACAATTAAACTTGTATTACTTGTAGGTCAAAATGGCATTCCTCTTTATTGCTAGTTTCTGTTACAAAATCTGCATCAAAGAAACTTCTTATCAGAGAGCAAGAATCACAAGCGAACAAAAAAGGTTTGCACACTCTGTGCAACATGGCTACTTCCAAAAAGGCCTTGAGGAGGTTGGGAAACCATAATAAACAAAAATATCTGAGACTCTGCTCTTTGATGAAGTGTTGACAAAAATACATGTGGCTGACAGCCCCTTTAAATTGAAGCTACAAGGCTTTTGACATCAACTTTTGGAGAGTCTCTAAGTGAAGACTGAGGAATAACACAATATGTAGGTTATGTTATTTTTCAATTAGTAGTAAAGAAGCCTGAGTTTTAAGTTTTCCTAAACTTCAAAACGACGAATTGTATTATCTGCTGTGAAATTTGCACACCAAAATCCCTTAGCTTCAAGTACAAATGAACGGTGGAAATAAGCTAACTAGAATTTGTACGTGAACAACCTTCACCACGAGACAACACGAATACCAAAAGCTGCCACAACGAATGTTTAAATGTAGACCACAAATCAAAAAGCCCAGATGCCCCCAAGATAAAACACCCGTTCGAGTAACTATTTAAATGAATGTTGACATGATATATCAATCGAGAGAAACTTTCCAGCTATTACAAAGAGTGAGCATGACTTAATGATGACATATTTTTTGCAAATTGAAAAAACTGCAGGTCGGGACCGGGGTAAACGGCATTTTCTCGTTAACCAATAAATTTACATACAAGTTCCATCAGCTTAGCTCCATCAAAATTCTTTGTTCGGTAATTTTTTATAGTCCTTTCCAGAAAAGATTTTTCTGCCGAAAAATCTGTGGCCAGTATATTTTTAAAAAGGCATATTATCTGCAGGAAGTGATTTAGCTTTCTTGCCATTGCGGATCGCTGCATGACTTTACGGCCAATTTCACAGCAGGAAAGAATTGGAAATAAGATAACGGTGAACATGAACATATTTCGACATTTCCCGAGTGTAATTTTTGTGTCAGCTTATCGACAAAGTGTCATACATAATGTTGATGAAAGATTTTCTCTGTTAAAGAAGATAAATAAGTTTATCGCCTATTATATTTCTCTACAAGTCGCACAGTGCTTGAGTTCAAATGCAAAACACAGGGCAAGCCACATCAAACTTCACTAAAGAGCTACGTGTAGTTAAGGCCATCATTATTTAAGAGTAAAACACACTTATGAGACTGTATTAACGATCGTTCTGCTAAAGCAAACCTATCAATTCTAATAAAGGAGTAAGCCAATTTAACAGCGATCATTTCTGGGGGATTAACGGAAATAAAGCAAAGAGAATTAAAATCGATCGTCTAAGAAATTTAACTCAAAATATCATTAGAATTTTCGGGACATCTTTTAATTTTCTTCCCACAATCTTTTATCGCGACCGCAACAACAGAATTGACCAGTTTCAACGATAATTTATTTGGCAAGTCTCACAGAGAGGAGGGTTAGTTCCAGTGCACTGAACTCTCTTACTTTCAATAACTCAACTCGTCGGTAGGTAAATAGTCAAATTAACACTGGCCGAGTTGTAGGTTATGGTCTTCGAAATTAGCTTTTACTGTTGAATCTAACGTATTTTTCTCTCACCTTTATGAGCCTAACCGTAGAGCCCTCTTTGACTTTGGAGTACACCTTCGTTCCCTGTTTATCATACTGTAAATTCCAGCCTTCGACGCTGTCTGCCAGTCGACGAAAATGCTCAAAATCGCCTGCCTTCGCAGTGCGGACTTCGCCAAGTTGCATCGAATCGTCACGAGCCACGAGTGTTACTTCTCTTCTTAACGGCGACCCAATCACTCCCCTTGCTGAAAGGAGGTCTTATGAGGTAAAAAGGGAATGAGATGAAATCGGAAAAAAATTTAAAGGGTGATTGCCAAATCGTACAGACACGATTTTCTTCGACTGTGGCTTGTTGTAAACTTCGGACTTCGCTACGGTTGATTCAAAACGTCACCCGAACCCTGAATGTGTGATTAGATGACGTAACGCATTCAATCGCTTGGCCAATCAGAAGGAGAGCACGAGTCGTGGGGTTAAGGATCATGCACGTGGAGGAGACATTCCACTTTACCTCAAACTGTGCAGTTTATTGCACAAAAATTGGAATTGTGGAACTGTTTCATATCACAAAAGAGTAGTGTTAAAGCTAATAATACGCGAAGGGAAACCTGACTGCTACAATAAATACTCTCTCTTGACGGTCGTGTTGGCTATGTTTTCGCCACCCACAAATTTAGGGCGAGGGATGGTTGCTATAGCAATTATTGCGCGGTTTGAGTATGTAAAACTGTTTTCACTAGCAGGTGAAGGAAGTCATTCACGCTTCTTATTCTGAAAGGAGAAATTAAGGCACGATGAAATTATGCATGCCACAGTGTTTTTAAAACAATTTATTTTTATTTACGGTTTTTTTTAAAATAGGCTTTCAATTTTAAGTAAAATTTGCATATAAATTGACTAAAATAAACTTCGGCAGAAATAGTAACTCAAGGATGATTTCATTTCGAGGAGGTGGGTGGAAAGTATTTTCCAGTGACGCACTTTGACGCCTCGCCACCATCGAAAATTCTCGCCAATATTCGTTCAGACATATTGTTTAATTTTTTATGAGATATTGCGAGCCTTGGAGTTTCAATGAAAAACAAGCATTAACGAATCAGAAAGAGAAAAAAACGAGTTTTGCTTCGGGAAATATTATTTTAACTTAGCAGTATAAGGGAAAACCATTAAATTTTTATGAGGGTATTTCCACCTGGCTTTAACAGTGTGTGCTCTTGGGAAAATCTAACAAGCCTAGGCACACTTTACATTCAAAACTAAAGAAATCGATAAAAATCAGTCAATCGATCAATAGAAAGAAAGCCTTACTGAGATACAGAGATCTGTGTAATTTACTCAGCTGAAATATATCACAGTTTAACTGGCTACAGTTACATCTATTCAAATTTAGTATCGTCGACGAGTTACTAGTCATTCCGATTGAATCGCGTCGATCGTATCTTGTTTCTGTTCTATTTTTTACTTTAATTTTTATTGCATAAATAATCTAATGCAATATTTCAATTATTTGAGCATACAATCGACTTTACTTCTTTGTTGCTATACTTGGCTCTAATAAATGTTTATACAGGTTCCCGAGACTTCCCAGTTGCGCAATCAGTTATTAGGTAATATTTTATCGCGACTAACTCCCAACCCTTCCGGTGATGTCGAAGTATACGTGCACGTGCATTTGTTAAGAAATGGAAACAGGCGTCTCGGAAATAACAATATAAATTCGGTCACCACTTTAATTTTTCGTGTTATTGATTTTTTTCTACACTGAGTGTTTAAAAGCCAAGGTTGAGTCCGGTAACGTGATCTGCAAAAAAAAAAAAGACGTCATGTGCGTGCTCGGCGCAATTTTTAGTCGGCCCACAAATACTTCTGTTACCAGCAATCTAGTTCCAAAAGTCACACGCAATGGATAAACGCCGGATGGCTCTGGGAGCCAAATCGTTATTCCTGAAGAAACAAATTTCAGTATAGACGCTTCATATCGACAAATAATTTACCCCCAGTGAACTGATTTATAAAAAGCTTGCGTTCTTTATCGGCTCTGGTAAGGCAAGCGCCGAGTAGTTTGTATGTGAATTTCCTTAATAATATGTCACACCTTCACGTATTTTTTCTAAGACACCCATTAGTGAGATCCGTTCACTCGGCAGTCTTTCCTGACAACGTAGACGTGTGTATGTGAGCGTTGAACTGTGTGCCTTAAGAATTTGCTTAATGACGGGTAAAAAAGTTTCGCGTGAGATTTGGTGTCGATATTGTACATGTCAGTCAAGTAAATGGACTCGATTATAGAGTTTTGACAAATCTCTCTAAATCGGCTCAATCCACGATCTCTGCGTCAAGGGATGCTTATCGCTCTTCTGAAAATATAATCCTGAGAGCCTTCACTGACAGTATAAGATTTCACTCTTTTGTCTGAAAAATTCGTGAGTCTGAAAAATTATCTTTTCAAAACGTGAAGAAGAAGCTACACGAGTAGGTCACGCACCTGGTAATGTCCTTAGCAGGAACATCAATGAGCAATAAATGTTTATCAGATCGGTGAAACGCTCCCGGGTATATTCGTGATCGAAAGTGTGTTAATTATGTGTAGACACCCTCTTTCTAAGATTTTACTGACAGGGAATGAAAACGACTGGAGCCCACCTGACTCTTGGAAATTCGTCCTCGAGATGTAATCATTTTTTGGATATGAATTGAATAGGCTTTTCCTTTTTTTTTAGGATATTACGTAGAGGACAATCACCGACGTCTTTGCAAACTACACAAAGCAGATCAACCCATGAAAATTTCATTTGATATCGATCGAATCCATGATTGTCTATCAGATAAAAATTATGAAAATAGGTCACGGAACTCGAGAGTTTTTTAATATTTTCAACATCCGCATGAAAAGAATAAGGTACTCTATTGTTCAGTCTTCCATTTTTCTAGTGACAGTACACAAGCGAATTTTTTCTTCAACACCTATGGTGTATCCAGCCTAGATTCCATTAAAGAAAATGTACTGATCGGGTATCATGAGGATTTCAGGTGATCTGTAGTTTCAATAGGCTTAAGGCATAGAGAAGTCTAGTTGAGGATTATCTTAAGTGCAGGTTTCGTAAGTGAGATGAGCAATGTGCTTTTGTTATTTAAATACACTCTTTAGAGAACGTGAATCGAGTGCCGAAGGCTTGCACCGAAACAAAGACATTAATACTTTTCAGGGCACCCAATGTTTTTATTCCCATCTTTTCGAGAGGAGATTTTGACTTATCAAAAAAAGGCTGAAACATTAAATACATGGTAAACCTTTGAGACATTTGCTAAATTTAGCCAGAGATATAAGTTTGCAAAGAGGTTTGCTAGCATAGGCGAAATTCGTTCCCTTTATTCGGACGACAAATTGAGAACGATTTTCATTTGGACTGCCCATCACTCTTAGTGTTTAAAAGACAGGTTTTCAATCCTTTCAGCAGCTAAATCTTAAATTTCCGTTGGTACTCACCTGCGTTTATGCGCATAAGGTTGCTACGCTCTTGGGTGATTCTGGGATAGTGGTCTCTGAGTATGCGCCCATCGTACACACGCTCTGGGAAGATCTACTTTCAGAGATCGATAAAGGAACCCATCCAACGTAATGGATTCTCTCCCTTGCTTGAACTCGAAAATATTTTACTTCTGGAACAAGCAACAAATCCAAAACTGGGGAGTAAAACAATTCCCCGGCAAACAAAATGAGCGTGAGAGTTTTTCGCCAAGCAAAATAGAAAAATACAATAGATATAAAGATAAAATTATATTTAGCTTGGAATTTAATATCTGAAAATTACGTCGCTGGATTGAGTTTCGTTCTGCAATCTTGATTTTTGCACTGCGTGTTGAAATGTATACGCCAATTAATATACTTGCTTCTTGGAGATCATCTCTGTGCTACTGCACCAGGACAACAGTTATTGCGCATTTAATTCTTATCAGAACATTTTGAATAAACCTTTTGATTATTTTTGAAAATGATTTTTATATCTTTGTTAGTTGAAAGATCTATAAAGCGGTAGTCAACATATGTGACACCTGAAATATTTTTTAAAAAAATGAATTAAAGTGGTAACAGATTTTTTCTCGACACCTGCGACTGACGAATAAATGCCCGTTGAGAGACAAACCCCAGGTGATCTTTTGAAGGTTTTAAAGTCCACGAGCTTTAATACAACGGCGCTATATCACAGAAATATCACAAGTCCACACATTTAAAACTTAATATTATATTCCTACTTTTTCATCAGCAAAGCCGAAAAGTCTCGTTGATAAGTTCTGGTCACAACAAGCGCGCGCGGTTACACTAATAATGCAACCTACAATTTTCTTGCACCAATTTTATCCCAATAAAGAAGAAGATAAGAAACCTTACTCGATAAAACCGTTCGAGCCTACTTTGGAGCCTTCAGTGAAGAGGTTTGAAATGGACACAAATGTAGGAACGATAATCATATCTGTAATTCAGACGGCTCGTTTACTGATCCCTGTAATGACCGCGGTGCATCATGTAAAACACGTCCAGTCACGATTTTTACGGCTTGCACTACGTTTATGATTATAGTTTGCGTCAGGTGTGAACACGGACGTGTTTCTCTGCAAGTGTAAACGACCAGAAAGTGTTTTAAGAAGCACTTGTCATTTTCTAAACTTAAACCGCAATTTTTGTGACGATTTCAACAAAATTAGGCGATATCCTATTTGTTATTTCGATAACAAAGGCACCGTGAAAAAAAGGAAAAATTGAACTCCGAGTCTTTAAGATGGCTACGATATGGCACACAGGAACAACAGGATTTTTCAAAAAGGTGGGGGAAGGGGGTCACACTGTGTCAAACATAGGTTACAGAACAGATTGTGATGACGACCTAATTGGCTCCTGGTTTTTCTAAATGTGACAAAAAATCCCAGGATTCCCCCCTAGCTACACCCTTGCAACACGTTTGGGTTTGGTTTTACCCTACGTGTTATCGTTTCCCAGGCTGCCCTCCACATATTAAAATCAAACTGTATTTATCTTTTGAAAATCACCTTACAGTTTCTTTACGATCTATTTGGTTGAAATAAATCACATACTTTAACAGTTTCGTTTCAGCCGGTTACTCATTGTGTGGTCTCCCAACAATGTGACTCAGGTGAGATAAAATACTTCCACCTCATCGGGTGTGAAGTAGTAAGACCCAGAAAGGATTGTATACTTGCTTTGTAATCCACTTGGCACTGAGTAGTACCCACTACCAAAATATGTGTTTGACTTAGTGTTACTGTTGGCATTATTGCTAATGTGGATTTCGTGTCCTCCACCAAATGTTGGACCATAACTTCTGTGCCTATAAATTGCGTAATCCGGGTAATTCACCGTGCTCTTGAATGGTGCTAGTCCTTCTTTGTTGATGAGCGAAAATATAAAAGAAGTGGACGAGTAGCCGTATGTGTTACTGGAATCTGAAGAGGAAATAAAACAATAACAGCAATGTAAAGAAATAGAAGGTAAATAAATTATTTGTGAATGGAAGCATAGAAATTGTAAGGCAATAAATAATCTGAGGCAAGAGAACATGATTATCGAGTGATATAAACTAAAAGTAAAAGAAGACTGACGGGTTCAAAGAGATGCAAATGTAACTAGTATTAAGGAGGTTGAACCACAAACGATGTAACATAAAGATATTATAATTAGCAACCTTACAAAATACAGATCTGGCGAAGCTTCAAGGCGGAGCTCCGGTTGGTTGATTTTTGCCTCCCCTCCACTTTGTGATAAATTTCTACAGGTTGAGGGAGAGTTTATTTGTGACATCGATAAAAAAGGTCATTACCAAGTAAACAGGAGGTAGGTCGGGTAGGAGGATAGAAACAAGTGGGGTCAAGGATATATTTTCAGTAATAATAGTCTAGGGTTTCTCTTTTTAAAAAATAAAGGGCGGGGGTTGTCATTATTAGGTTCAATGGACAGTAAGAGTGAAGTGACAGTGATAGTACATAACTTGATTTTGTTTTGAATAGACAGTGAAGTTCCAGTGGCGGTATACGTAGCGATGGCCAGTAGGGAGACAAGGTCAATATTGAGACAGCCTCTGTACAAATAAGAAAAAGACGCGGGACACTGATCTGTACGGTAAAGTGAGTTTAATATTATGACTTTTAGGCTGAGGTACTCTTGTTCTCAACCTGTGCATCATATTTGTGCAAGTAAACTCCATGTATCCAAAATGTGTAAACCTTAAATTGCATTGGTGCGTCGTTAATTATCATGCAATTCCACTTGAAAAAGTATCAGGCTACATGCCCCGTCTGAATCTATATTTAGCAGGTTTAATTTGCTTATAGTTCTCAGTTAATTGTTTTAGGGGGAAAAATGCAGGAATAATACCTATCATACGGTGTTTTTTTTTTCCATTTTTAAAATGTTATTCTGATTGTTATTACAAACCGCACACTACGCGTAGATGTTAGCGGATGGATTAGAGGCAGTTAAATTTATTCTCTAAATAACCCTATGTTCTCACCCCAAGCAATGTCGGTGTATCCTCCAAACAAGTACGGGCTTTTTCTTATGATAGTAACAGTGTGCGGCTTTCCATCACAGCGACTGTGAAAAGTACTTGCTGCCCAGCCGTGAGAGGAGGCGCGGTAACATAACGTCCAGCGTTTGCGAGAATTTGAATCCAAAAATCGCAGAAGGCTCTGGAACAAGTCATAACTTGGAATGATACTTGATGGTATTTTCAAACCTGACAAACAGAGAGAGTATTGAGATTTTCATATAAACGCCCGGTGCCTTCATGTTGTCATCTCAGTTATTCGAAGTGGGACAATTATCTGAAGGGTAAGTATTTCAGAAAACATCGTTGTTCACAGGCTTGAAAATTAAAATAAGTTAATTTTCTCGTCAAACACATTTCATCCGAATTGTTTTTTAAACTTGGCGCATAGGACCGTTGAAAATGCAAGCAGAAAAACTGAGGACTGCATGCCTGCTGTTCATGGGTTCTTTATTAGCTATGTATTATCCGAGAAATGTTATAAATTTTAAACACACGAGAAAGTTTTTATTTCAAGACAAAAACTATATGAGAATATTTCTGAAGCCTAGCGCCTTTTCGTGTGTCTGAGTAATAACGCCTCACTGAGATAATTTTAAATTGCTCGATCCTCAAATATTGGAGTCAATTCATCGTTTCAAAGCTCCTTCTTGAATCAAAATGTAGAGTTTTAAGTGGCACTACTGCTCTTCTTAGAAACCATCGTATACCAATAGTGAGCCGCACGCTTTTCGACAAGCAGGCTCTGTTAACACACAGAATCCTTACTCAACGCGCAATCCAAATTTAGCATTCAGATCCACTTAACCAATAATAATGGACTCGTTGCTTGGGGTAATGCGTCAAAAAACTATCTAAACAAAATTGTTGTTCTCCAAAAGCCAGTATTACGTCTAATCTTCTTTGTTGATAGAAAAGAACATGAAATCCCCTTATTTGTAAATGCGAAAATTCTGCCAATTACCTTCTTATATAATGAAGCTGTATGTAAATTAATGTTTGATATTCATAAGGACAGTGCACCTTCTAACATGACGAAACTTTTTACGAGAACTTCAAACAATTATATATATAATACTCGCTCATCAACGTCACAATTCTTTAGCGTTAAGTCGTCTAGGCTTAAAATGCAAAAAAAAAAAAGCCTTTTCGCGTGTCGGTGTCAAAGTCTGGAATGAGATGCCTAATGAATACAAAAATTTGTCAAAGA